CCCCGGGGGTGGGGGGGGTTCCTGGGGTCAGGGGGGTTCCGGGGGTCGGGGGGGCCCCTGGGGTCATGGGGGATCCTGGGGTCGTGGGGGACCCTGGGGTCATGGGGGATCCTGGGGTCGTGGGGGACCCCAGGGTCGTGGGGGGGACCCTGGGCTCGTGGGGGATCCCGGGCTCAGGGGGGATCCTGGGGTTGTGGGGGGACCCCGGGTTTGTGGGGGACCCCGGGGTCGTGTTCTGATGCCCCTCCCCAGCTGGCTGTGAAGGTGGCCGCCTACGCAGAGGAGCTGATCCGGGGGTACCCGGCCCAGGGCCCACCCGGGGACCCCCAGGAGAGCTGGGACGCTGTCCAGCAGCAGGTGAGACCCCCCCCCAAAAAGGAGCGCGGAGCCACCCCACGGCCACCACACTGACGCCCCCCCTGCCGCCCCCTCCCCAGCTCGGCTGCTGTGGCTGGAAGGGACCCCAGGACTGGGAGCAGCGGGATGAGGCCAGCGGGGACGGGGACAGGGCCACCGCCTGCTCCTGCCTCCAGGCACCCAACAGCACCCACGGGACCCCCTGGCTGCTCCCCCACGGCCGCTGCCCCGCGGCCGCCCCCCAGGACATCTTCCCCAGGGTGAGGCACGGGGGATCCAGGGGGGTCCTGGAGCTCCCTGGCTGTGGGGGGGCTCCGAGTGACCCCCACTTGTCACCCCAGGGCTGCGAGGAGAGAGTCCAGAGCTGGCTGGCCGCAAACCTGGTCACCATCGTGGGGGTTTGCGTAGGCATCGGCCTGGGGGAGGTGAGGGGGGGACCGGGACGGCACCGGGACGGCACCGGGAACGCGCGGAGCGGCGGGGCCACGCCCCTTCCCTTGGGCCACGCCCCCTTTCTCTGGGCGCGAAGGTCTCGCGCGAGGCCCCGCCCCTCCCCTCCGCCGTGAGGCGATTCCCGCCCCCCCACACCCACCCCCCGGCTCCCCCTCAGCCCCGCGGCGCTCCCGGGACCCCCCGACACCCCCGGGCCCCCCGACACCCCCGGGCGGGCCCCGGGGGCAGCGGCAGCACCGGAGCACCCCCGAACACCATGGCTGCGGAAGCTCCGTGCGCCCCGGGCGCCGCCATCCCCCTGCCAGGTGCGGGGACCATGAGGGAGCGGGGCGGGGGGTGAGGCGCAGGGCCCCTCCATAACCCGTGTCCCCCCCTCTGCCTCAGCCCCTGCCGAGAGCGGCTGCTCGGACGAGTTTGCCCTGGACTGCACCTTCGCTGCCTGCGACCCCGAGCGGACAGGTAGCCGGAGCCCCTGTGGCCGTGGTGGGCTGCCCGCGGCGGCCCCTGAGCCCTCTGTGCCGCTCAGGGCTGGTGCAGCCGCAGCGGGTGGTGGAGTACGTGGCGGCCATGACCGGGCACAGCGGGCACGACGGGCGGCTGCAGGCTCTGCGGCGGGCGCTGGACCCCGCGGCCGCGGGCACGGCGCTGGACTGGGCCGCGTTCCGCAGCGCCATGGGCGCCTGGATCGCAGCGTGCCGGCAGGACGGGTCAGTGCCCGGGGATGGGGCAGCGCCCGGGGCCAGCTGCGGCGGTCAGCGGCGCTGACCCGCGGCTCTGTCCGTGCAGGGCCGAGGAGCAGGATGTGGGCGCTGGCGACGCCAGAGCAGTGCCAGCAGCAGGTGGGCACAGGAAAAGGGAGTCGGGGTGGCCCCGATGGCGACACAAACACTGTGTCCCATCCCGCAGAGGACGAAGGACAGGCATCCCCAGCAGCCACCGAGCTCCAGGGTGACAACACGGACGTCACCACCCCGTAAGTGCCCGCCGCGGGGACACCCCGCCAGCCCTGGCCGTGCTCCCAGGAGCAGCCCAGGACCGGTGGCACCCCCCAGCAGCGCCGAGGCCGCGGGGCTGCGGAGCCGTGCCCGGCAGCTGGCGGCCCAGAACGCCAAACTGCAGCGGGATGCTGAGCTGGCCGAGGAGCTCAATGCCCGCCTGGCCGAGGAGATCGCACAGCTCCAGGCGCAGCTGCGAAGGTGCTCCCGAAGGGCTCCCGGGTGCGGGGTCTGCACCGGCATGCCGGCAGTGCTGAGGCAGCATTTGCCTCGCGTTTGCCCCCAGCAGCAGCCGGCAGGCGCTGGAGCAGGCCAGGGTGGCCGTGGAGGAGCTGGACGACATGAAGGCCGTGGTGAAGCGGCTGGAGGAGGAGAACACCGAGCTGCGGCGGCAGGCACGGCACGCGGTGAGAGGCTAAGCTGAGGTGCCGCGTGGCGCCGTGCCGTCACACGCTGTCCCCTGACGGCCGTGCCCTCCCCAGGAGAAGGAGCAGCGCAGCCTGTGCTTGCAGGCCGAGGGTCTACAGGAGGAGGTCAGCCTTGGCCCCGGCGGCTGCCCCAGCGGGGCAGTGCCACGGGAAACCCCAGCCCTGTTTCACCCCCGGCAGAACCAGCGGCTCCTCGCCGAGGGCCAGGGCCTGCGGGAGCAGATCCAGGCGCAGGCGGCTCGCATGGCCAGCCTGGAGGTGAGCGCTGGCACAGCGGCCGTGGCGGGCAGTGCCGGGGCTGTGTTGGACTGTGACACGAGTCCTTGTCCCCGTCCCTCTGCCCAGGCCCAGCTCTGCCGTGGCACCGCCCTGCTCTCTGCCCGGGACGCGGCCCTTGCCCAGGTGAGCGCTGCCCAGCGACACTGCTGCCACCTCAGCTGTCACCAGGGCCACCCCCGGCCCTCTCCCACGGGCCCTCACGCCCAGGCCCTGTCCCACAGGCAGGGCAGAGGGCGCAGGAGCTGACGGCAGCGCTGGAGGAGTACGAGCGCATGGTGCAGGTACCCCCCATGGTGCAGGTACTGCCTGCCCTCGCTGTGAGCCCGGACAGCGGCCACGGAGCCCCCGGGCCACAGCAAAGCCCCACGGCGTGGGGGTCTGCGTGGGGGTCCGGGGCCCGGGGTGACAATCCTTCTCCCCTGCAGGAGCTGCGGCTGGAGACGACGCGGCTGAGGCAGCAGCTGGGCCAGATGCGGGACGCCTGGGCCATGTAGGGGGGACACGTGGGTGGGGGGACTCTCCGGAGCCTTCACCTCAGCGTCCTCACCCTCCTCTCTGTCCCCCAGGCGCCCGTGGTGCCCCCGCGGCCAGCTGGACACCCCGGCCACGGCCACGGCGAGCCCGGTAAGAGGGGTCAGGGCGGGACCCCGCGGGGGCCCCTCAGCCACTGACCCACAGGCCGTGCCCAGGGGACAGGGGACAAGGAGGAGGAGGAGGACACGGGGACGGCGCTGTGCGGAGGAGGAGGCCTGGTGGGGAGCAGCGAGGAGCTGGCCGAGCAGGCGCCGCGGTCGCCGCTGTCACCGTGGGCTCTGGCGCTGCTGGCGCTGCTGGCCCTGCTCTATCTCCTGCCCCGCCAGTGGCCCCAGCCCCAGCTGCGCTACCGGAGCCCCCCGCCCCTGTGAGACCCCCAGTAAAGGCCGGCTGGGCTGTACCAGCTGCCCCAAACACGCGCCAGAGTCGGGGTGTCAGCACGGGCTTTATGGGCGCAGGGCCCTGCGTCTCTCCCTGCCTCTGGGGGTCCCGTGGAGCCCCCGAGGGCTTCCAGCAGGCATCTGGGGGGTCCCCATCTCTCCCCAGTGGCTCAGGCCAGCCTGGACGGGGGCAGCGGGTGAGGCCCCGCTGGTCCGGGGGCGTTCCCAGTGATCCCAGTGCGCGGGAGCGCTCCCAGTACCCGTGTGTGTCCCCAGGTACCGCTGGGCCGCTCAGGTGCCGTCCTGCTCCAGTGCCGGGGGTCCCTGTGAGGGCTGCGGGGGGCTGCGGGGAGCGACCTCCCAGTGCTCCCCAGTGCTCCCAGCGGCCCCCAGAGAGCCACCAGTGCTCCCAGTGTCCCCAACAGCACCCCCAGTGCCCCCCATGCCCTCCCCAGCGTCCTGCAGTGTCCCCAGTGTCCCCACCTGGGCACAGGGTCTCCTGTACAGTGCCCAGACCACCGCCACCAGGCCCAGGGCCCCCCCAACTGCCCCCAGCAGCAGCAGCCCGTGTCCAGCGGGGCTGGGGGGTCCCCGCCTGGCCCCCAAGGTCCCCTCGTGCCGCACGGCTGGGCTGGTCAGCGCCGGGCCTGGGGGGAGACGGGGCTCAGCAGCTGCCCTGGGGGGGCTGACGGGGGTCTCCCGGGGGTCCCGGGGGGTACCTGGGTGGCAGCGCAAGCGGGCACAGCCGGGGAAGTGAGGGGGTCTCCCTTGCAGCCCCCCCAGGTGCTGCGCCAGGCTCTCCAGCAGCTGCGACACGTTCACCCGCTCCAGCCGGACACAGCCCTGCGGGTCCTGGGGGGATGTCGTGGGAGCCCCCCCAGGGGACCCCAGACCCCTTCTGAACCACCCTGGGACACCCCAGAAATGCCCCAGAGCTCCAGGATTTGCCCCCGCTCCCCACGACGCCCAGAGTAACCCTGACACCTCAGGGAACCCCCAGACCCCTGTGGGGTCCCCAGAGCCAAGACCCCCAGAGTAACCCTGGATACCTCAGGGAACCCCCAGACCCCTCTGGGATCCCCAGAGCCCCCCAGGAGCCCCAAAGTTACCCTGGAACCCTCAGACCCCTGTGGGGTCCCCAGAGCCCCCCAAGACTCCCACAGTAACCTTCAGGGAACCCCAAAGGCCCCCCCAGAGCCCCCAGACCCACCTTGGCCTCCCCAGAAGCACCCGGAGCCCCCTCCCCAGGACTCCCCCACTGGCGTTTGTCAGCTCTCCACACTATCTTTCTTTATACGTGACCCACTTACCAGAGCGGAGCAGGGGGGGGGCACATCCATGGCGGTGCCGAGCTGGGGGCACCCCGGAGCCCCCCCGGGACCCTCTTGGGACCCCCTTGGGACCCCCCCGGGCCGCGGAGGAGCCGCCGCCGAAAGCGAAAGTGGGAGCGGGCCGGGAGGGGGACCAGGAAAGCCGAGAGGGCAGCGGGACAAGCCGAGCCGAGCCGCCCCCTCCCACCCCGCGGGGCCCCGGCCGCCCGCTCCTCACCCCGGGACTCCCTCCCGACCCCCGCGGGGGCTCCGCGCTCGGGACCCCCGCCCGGCCCCGCAGAGCTTTGGGTGCGGCTGCCCCGGGCGTGGGAGGGGGGCCGGGGCGTCCGGGCACGCGCAGGGGCGGGGCACCCCCAAAATATCCCCCCCCTTGCAGCCCGAGACCCCCCGCGACCCCCCGAACACAGACACGACAGCGGCTGCGGCTCGGAGCGCTTTATTGGGGCGGGGGTCGGGGGGCACAGAGTGCGGGCTGAGATCCCCCCAGGGTTGGGCGGTTCTGGGGGGGCTCAGGGGCCGCCCCCCGGCAGCCAAAGGCAGCGGGGGCGGCTGCAGCGCAGCTCCAGCTCCCGCTCGGCGCCGGGGGGGGGGTCCTGCCCCGGAGCCCCCACGAGTCCCGCCGGGACCCCCCAGACGCGGGGGACGCTCACGGCAGAGGCCCAGTCGCAGTCCTGGGAGAGAGGGGGTGGTGACATCAGAGGGGACAGCTGGGGACAGCCGGGGTGATGTCCCCCCGCCTCACCCCAAATCCCCCCGCAGCGGCCGTGCCAAGGCTCGGGACCCCCAAAACGTCACAGCGCCCTCCCCCCGTGTCCCCTCATGTCCGTCCCCCTCCGTGTCCCCTCTTGCCCCCCATCCGTGTCCCCGGCCGTGCCAAGGCTCGGGACCCCCAAAACGTCACAGCGCCCTCCCCCCGTGTCCCCTCATGTCCGTCCCCCTCCGTGTCCCCTCTTG